TTCGTCTTCAGTGTGATTCAGTACAGGATGGTGCCACTAACTCTCCCTGCGGATTAGCTAGTTTTATATAAATTTGTGTAAACAGATGTACTTAGCAAACACTGCCAACGCCACGGTGTTTTGGATGACCAGACGTTTTCAACACAATAGTCAAAACATAGAAGAATTTACACATCATCAGATTATCAAGAGGGTTCAGTCTCATCAAAAAGTGGTATGGTCAGTCAGTGACCTAATATGGTATAAGTCCAAACCGCTGGTGCACTTTGTACACAGGTACATTTCCTCTGCCGGTATCATTGCTCGCTAAACTAAACGAGACAGAACTTTATTCTTCAGTATTTTATTTTTATTTTATTTTAAAAGCTACAAAACATACATGCAAAATTGAGCTTTTTTCACCATATCGAATCGAAAACTAACCTTACGCGTGTACCAGGTGTGTTTTCTCGTTGAGCATTTGTAAAATTTTCACTTGGTGGATTCACTTCTGTGAGATAAATGTTTTTTTTACATAGTTCTGAATTAGGAAGAATCAACATATGTAAATCGACCAATCAGTGATTGATATAGAGTAAATAGTTAACCGAATATTCAATAAGTAATTCCGTATGATTGAATTTTAAAAAGAGCTATCGGTGCAGGAGTTTTGAAACGGCTATGAACGTAAGCGAGCATGTTTATCAAGCTGAATGCAGATTTTTCCCAATAACTTTCTGATTCTGTTCACAGACACTAAGATGAAGGTCACATACATGTCAAAATATGTACGCGATGAAAACTAAATTCGTTTATTTCTTTGTTGCATATTCTTATCTTTTGACCAGCCTGAAAAAAATTCAGAATTAATAGGCAAAAACAATGAGGCTAAATTTCAATGGAGGCAAAAGAAAGATTAAGGAGGTTTCAGGCTATGGACAACATCACATTTTAAGACACAAATAAAAAAATCACATGAAAATTTAACTTACATCTTTTTCCACCGGGTTCCATTCCACAGTGAATTCTTGTAATCCAAGTTGTAGAAAATAATAGGAGCCATCCAGAAATTATTCTTCAAAAGCCGTTACAGCATTTAAACACGTTTAACCGCGATCTCGTTCATCGTGGAAATTGGATGTGAAAGCAAGTAAGGCTGGTCATACCTATAAGCAATATCGTATTCTTGCTTCATACAGGATGTTTGATAACATTTTTTAAGACTTGCTTAGTTGTCATGGTATTGTAAGTGATACTCCTTGAACAAAAGCCGGTGAAACAGCATCTCAAACCCATTTTTAGACGATTAGCTTTATATCGGGGACAGCGTAAACATTTGGTTCAAGCGAGAGATTAACGGCTACCGGGTCAATCACCAGTGGAGGCACCCGAGCTGACACTACTTCGACATATTGATATTTGGATTCAACACTTAAGCTAAAAGTATAAGCCTCAAACCGCTCTAATGACAAAATGTTAACCGGTTCAGAGTAACAGACCCACTTCTCTCACATCACTGGTCATCTGCCTGGCATTGTACCACAGAACAATGTTAAACCCATTTAGAATTGCCTATCGGGGCGAATGATAGGCTGATGAACTATTGAGTTCCAAGGAAATCAAAACTCAATCCCAATACTTTTTTCTTTTGTGTACACTCACCAGGATAGCTGCTTTAAGCAAGGAGATTGATGGTTCAAACGAGAGCGATATGGATGCGGCTTATAATTCCACAGCAATGTTATTATATAAGGCTAAGGAAGTCAGCATAACTTTTCTAGAGCATTTCAACTTGCGTGGTATTGACCTTCATTTTAGTGGCTAGTGTACATATTCTTGGATCAGTGGCGAACATGGAACATTCCACCGTCATTGGTGGCCCAGGCTCCTTGACAAGGTTTCGAAGAGGAGCAGCGGCTCAAGGAAGTATTCTTGTATCATTAGAATTCGGGAAGTTCTCCGAAACACTGCCCTTTGTCGGTGGGTCACTGAGAAAAATCTTCGTTTATTTTTTTCTGGTTCGTGTTATGAAAAACTCGCTCATGGAAAAAACGAGAGACAGTTTCGGAAAGGTGCCCATCAGACGAATGAGATACCTGCACGAAATAACCCGTCAGTCCATCCGGTCCATTTCTGCCAGGATTTCAACGGCAAGAGAATTTGCCATTTCGGTATTGATTTGTTCTCTCAGACTATAAATTCAAACGCGAAAACCTTGCAATGGTGAGTGTCCGGTGCGTGTATCATTGATTACATACTAAAGAGACTAGTGTTGCCCATTTTCCCATGTTTTGTCCGTATCACTAATTTCACCGGCCAGATTCCGTATGTTTGGTTTGCGGTGTGCGACATAGTGATCCTATGCCAGAAATTACTATAGAAATTACGATAGATGCTTGATATGAGGACAGATTTCTCATGCAGTAAAAAAGTGTTGGTCCAAAATTGCCTACAGAATGATTAGTCAACAGGTTAAGAGGTTACACTACCAACATGTTTGCCGGTCTTAATCTCACCTAGAGCCAGAAACATCTCAACTGCATTGCAGTATAAAGAGGCAAAATTTCTTGCCTGATTCTCTTCTTCGAAAGGGTATTTCAGCGCCGTTACAGCTAAGTGGAGTGAGTCTACCGCTGTTTCTGCAGGCGAAAAAAAGATATTCAGGGGCTCACGGTACATTTATTTATGAATTCTAACTTCAGCTGCTTATTCTGAAGCGAGCAGCTTGAATAGTTTAACTCGATTGGCGCCATCAACCCATGGGATGGTGTTTAATGCCCACAACCTCACAAATTTAAATGGTACCATCACCGAAATACAAATAAAATACAACACTTCACTTACATCAACCACCCACTTAAGGACCAACCCTTTTTTCGCAGGTTTCACTCTAGGAGAATCTGTAACCCTTGAAAATAGAACATATGGACGTGATGTTTTGGGTACTGCGTATAGCAAGTGAAAGGCATGTATTGAGGCAACAAAGTGAATTTTGCTATCTCTAGATGTTTTGAGGCTTTGATAGGTAGATGAACTCAGTAACGACCTGTAAATGGAGTCTAGCCTTTCCACAGTGATAAGTGGAACAGCATTGGAAACTATAGCCATCCGTTTTAATCTATCGATTAGTAGTCGAACCAGACTCAGATTAGCGGATTCTTTGTCAGTAAATCAGGAATATCTGTCGACAGCCCAACCCTCCATCTCAATGGTCACGTTATTTTAAGACAGGAGACAACTTTCAGTTGACTCCTCAGCCTTTGAACGCTTGTGGTGGCCCACTGTAACACATTCCATACGCTCCAGAGTATCGTAGCATTGAGTCTGAAGTGACTGCATCCCGTAACCCAGTCCTCCTGCAGTCTGTAGAAGCGAACGGTAGAATGGCCCAGAGGGGAATGTCATTCTTGATATGTGCTTCAGATAATATCCAAGTACACCAGAAATATCGGTTGCAATGTGTGTTGGACGCGTTGCACAGCTGATGAAAACTGGTATGTGGATTACAACCCGTTCATGCAAATATAAACTGACCAAAGACACCTAACAAGGAAATACGGACGCGTTCGCCTAGGTCAGTGATAATTCGGGTTTAGTGAGCTTACGTAAGCAAACAAACTGCGCAGCAGGGCACTCACTTGAAAACCTTTTGTAAGCACAAATGAGACAAATTGGTCAGTCTATCTAATTAATCGGTCGTGCGTCATGCGTCGCGCGGAAGATAGACGATCGGAGAATTGCGTAAATGCTACTTAAAAAGCGTTTCGGATGCTGAGATACAACGAAGAAACTAATCCGTCAGTTATTCTTTCTCAACATTCCTAGGAGATAAATCGCGGAGAAAGACATCAAAGGGTCCCCATTAAAAGTATGCATGATGACCAACGTGACTTGACTAAATGAAATGCCAGCTTGCAAGAGAGAACTCCAACTTCGCATAGGGGTACAATGAAAACGCAAGAGCGCATTGACCAAAACCTGCGGAACATTTCAAAATAATGTTTTATATTGTTCTGTCTTTGACTTCACTTCACTCTGTAATTCATAATCTGGCAGTGGCTCTATTGGTATCTCCAAACGGCCATGGATGAAATTAAGAGAAGTTTTACACTTTTATTCTCAAGAGTGAAATATGCAGACTTTTTTGGCCCGAGCACCAGGATGGGCGCAAACTCTTGGCTAATTGCATAGAAACGTATATGAAGAAAGTTACTTTGGACCTTTGGTGTATTGTCCAGATGAAATTCAACATGGTTGTATACAGGCTTATTTTCTGTAGCAAGACCGTCTTTATAGGAGAATCTCTGAACAGCGATCGTTTTCCTCAATGGCCACAGTAGGGTTTTCCATAGTCTGAGTTCAATTGAGACCTGAGGTAAACTGCTACATTTGAAGTCAGTTGGCGCTTGTTCGTCCGGTACCGCTGTCTTCGCATGTTTCCAGCTTGGGTCAGTTCAACTTCCCGCGAAATGCTCGACATTTGATCAACGTGGCCTTATTTGAAAATGGCCATTTTTTTTCTAAAAACTTTCACAAACGTGACTTTGATGATAGAGTCTTTAAAATAAAAAATATATCTGCAAAAATCTGACTTGGGAAGATGAGTTATGCTTGTGATAAGGTCAGAGTTTGGTTGGCAATGAAGAAAAAGAAATCTTGTTTGTTATTACTTGTTTGTATCCATATCCGCTCTATGGGTGCGGCCATTTTGGATAAAGACAATGTAGCTGATAAAAAAAATACTATCGATAGAGTTCATCTTTGTTACTTTTCGATTTTCAAAGAGGTGTGACGTTGGGCTTTAGAGTGGTGCCTCCTGAATAAGTATTATTTGATCAGATAATGATCAAGGATCCAGTTGCAACAACGACATTTTTGATGTACCAAAACCTAATTCTTGGCTTTGATATTTAGTGACAGTAGCTTCGTTAAATTTGAAAACTAGCATAGCCTTAGTCATCACCTTTGAAAAACTATAACCTCATCGGTGTAGATCATTTCAACTATCGAACAAGACTGACCTGCGATCTGACCCAGTAGTTCGCCTTCTTCTGCGTCGCCAATTCAACGAACTCCCATTGTCGCAAAAGTACTTAAGAGAGACTATGGTATTATGATAACCTATCTGAAACACCAACATTATCACACAAAGCACCAGAACCGGAAGTTTATCGACGGGATCGCGGTATTTTGAAATTGTTCTTGCTCTTTTCTTTAAGCTGATTATCCCTCTGATCTGCAGATGCCGAAAGTTAAATTGCCACAACTTGAAATGCTTTTAATAAACAGTTCAACTTAGAAATGGAAACACAGTCTACCTTACTCCATTTCGTTTTTTACATGGTATATTCCGTGACAGTGGGGTAAGGTATTTTTACATGTCAAAATACCGAGTAATATGGCGAGCAATCTTGAAGAAGACCTTAAAAAGTACCTGGAAAGTCATGATAGACTTCTTCAACAGCCCACCACCGGTTTCACGCTTCTTGGGGCTCATCAGGTGCGTGCAGTCCAAGATTTTTTATCAACTTTATTTCCCACTTGAACAAAAATTGCACGAAATTAGTGAAATACACTCATTTGCACATCAATTTGGTATTAGCAAGACACTTGCCTGAAACCCAGCTGAATCTCTGGTTTGTGATATTCTTCAACTAAATGTGCTTCACAAAGATGGCCTTACGTCTCAGTTGGTACGATAGTCGAGATGTCTCAGTTTTTAAGCTTGAAAATCTCTCGAATATCGTTACAACTGAAACATGAGGCGGACTGGTGCAACACATTCAGTTTTTTGAAAACCATTAACAAGCAGTTTAGCTGATTTCCAGGTGAGTCTCTCGCAAAACCAAATTTGTTTGCAAATGAGTGTGTTTCGCTGCCTAGATAGTCATTTTGTAATACATATGTATTGCTGTTCGCCATTTATGCACCTAAGACACTTTATGAGTTGCCCTGCAATTAGTCTACTCAGCTGATGCCAAACGGGGCACAGTAAACGGAGGAAAAAGTTCGAGTTGGTTTTTGTTCATCGGTTAATGGTCACCGGGTTGGTTGTCAACTGTTTCGAATGAATCTCACTGTTGATACGACCCGATGAATTCTACTGTCGTTGTTTATTTCATCAATGCTTCGTCGTTTTTTGAAACGCACCAAAGTGAAGTCACCCTGCCCATTATTTTAATAGTCTGCTGAGATAAAGAAGAATACTTTCGAACAGACCGGATAAGAAATTTAGCAGATCAGAAGCACTATATGTGCCAATCAACTTGCGGTTAATCGCTTTTTTTGCGATGTCTCACAGTCAGGAGCCAAATGGACTAACTAAGAGTTTGTAAAATCCTCCGTCTTATCTCTTTCCTTTTATCTAAAATGCTATTTTACACGATTGTCTGTTATCTAAAATGCAGCACAAAACTATTGCAAAATGAAAGCAAATCGATTGCCCAGTCAATAGGATTACTCTTTTTGCAGTACCATGGTTTCTCTATTAATCCTTCTGAATAGTTTTCTGATTTCACTCGTAAGAATGGGAG